CGCAGCGGGGAGCCCCAGGCGGGGTCCCCGCTTGCCTTATCACCCCCCCACGCTGCTCAGGAAAGAGGCTGCTGGAGCCGCTTCTCTTTCACAACCGTGAGCGAGGAGGGGTGGTGGAGGGCTCATGCGCTGCCCCTGCTCCCAGCACAATCCCATTGGCCGGTTTCTGGCCAATGGGAGGTGCCTATTTGAAAAGCACCATGCCCCTTCCCTCCAACTCATAATTATTCAAACATGCACATGGCCCCTGCAGCCTGTGTAGGGGCGGGGCAGGCAGGGGGCCGCCCCAAACATGCTGGGCTGCGAGTCACCCAGATACTCCAGCTCCTCCCTCCCCCAACCCTCTGCCCCTTTGCCCCACATAACCCAAACCCTCTGCCCACTCCTGCAACATCCCCCTCCCAGAACCTGCACCCAAATTCTCTGCCCCAGGTCCCAACCCCCTCTGGCCCTAGGTCCCAACCCAAACCTCTGCCTCACTCCTGTACCCCAATCCCCTGCCCCAGGTCACAACTGCCCCCTTCACTCAAACTGCCTCCCAGACCCCTTACCTCCTCCATAGACGTGCAGCCTTTGACCACTTGCAAAATCTTGGAGTGCCCACTCCTGCTCTAAAATAACCATTAAGCCTGTACTAAGCAAAAGAAACACTTTAAAAACACAAATGAGACCACTCATCTTGCAAATACTTATGCTTGGCAGTAATGTCATGCATGTGAATGTTTCCATTGAGTTCACTTGGAAAATGGGCGTGTATAATTGGCAGGATCAAAGCCCAATGACTTAGCTGTTCAAAGGTATATTAAGCCACTAAGAATTTTTAAATGGCTTAGACAGAGAACACAGTTTATTATAATTCTCTAAAAATCTCGCTACACAAACTGCTGAGCAGAGTGAACGCTAAGTGAAAATGGGTCATTTCACTCCACCCAGCCGGAAGCTTCATTTTGTTTTGTTTTGGTTCGGGCATCTCTGTAGCTTTCTGCAAAGCGGTAGCATAGCAAGTTTCCCTTGCAACAAGCCTTATGGTTGCACAGAATTCCAGGAGGTGAAACTTGCAAACAAAGCAGCGATTTGTAAATTGAAAAGGCAACATGTTTTAGTTGTCCTTTTGGCCCCTGGGAGAGACTCTGGTTGCTCAGGTGACAGGGGCACTTATCACACAGAAGCCGAGTGCTCAGAATTGAGGCCAGCTGTACACCTCCAGTAACATTATACATTCTCCCTGGATCCCTCCCCATTTGCTTCCCTTTTATTTACGTTCATACAAGCATCCAAAAGCTTGCATGTCTCTCTGCCAGATAAAAACTGCGAAGGAAACCGGAGCGGAGTATAGAACATACATTGAATTCCAGTAGGGCACATTTTAGAAGAAAACGGGGAATGGTTGGGTGAACTTGAATGGGTCAGACTGCAAAGGGGAAATAGGAAAAGTTTCCGGATAAATTGCAAGAAGCAACAAAAAGTGATGTACCAAAACAAGTGCATTAGCAGTAAAAGTAATGGGCAAATTCATTACTGAATAAAGCGAAGCTGGGACCTGTAGGAGCCAGAGAGATAACGAGAGAAATGCCGAGACAGGGATGTAATAGTGTGGTCGATTAAAGCTTATCAGTTAACGCTATAGACTACAAGCATTTCCCCCCCTTGGCCAGGAAATTTTTAGCAGGCTGTCCTGCAGCTCAGCTCAGCTCAGCCCTGGCTTGTGCCAGTTCTGGGCCCTGCATTTAAAGTGTGTTAGAAGCCAGGCAGGCAGGCAGTAGCCACAACATTTTGGCACCAAAGGCGGGGCGCTCAAATGACACCCTCATGCCCCCTTTTCTCCTGCCTGCCTGTTGTCTCTTGTGCTCTCTTTCTTCCAGCACAGCACTCCCCCATCTCTGTGCATCTAGAGCAGAGAGAATATACATACGCACCAGCAGCAGACACAATTTTCTACATTCTGGGTCCTAGTGGTGCCCCCCCACAGTCTGGCACTTGAGGTGGCCGCCTCAGTTCGCCTCATAGGCACCCCAGCTCAGTTCTGGCTTGTGCTGAGTCCAGGAGCTCAGATCTCTCGCCCCCAGTCAGGGGCTGGCCTGTAGACTAGTCGACTAACCAATAAGAATTCACGAGGTTAATCGACTATTCAGTTAGCCGATATTTAACATCCCTAGTGTCATGTGCAATTACATGGGGAGGGGGAAGCTGCATTTTGGGACAGACGCTTAGAGTGGGGGCAGCATAAGCTGCCTACGTGAAAAACCCACAGCTCTGAGTGGCACAGTGAAGCCGACCTAATTGGTTGAATAGATACCGCTGGGTCAGTGGGAGAGCTGGAGAGGAAGCCAGTGTCAAACAGCATCAGCACTGCAGAGATTTGCACCCTAGCATGCCCTTAGGGCCTCCCTGGCCAGGTCTCTCCTGCTGTCTCTCTTCCCCAGTGACTCTCTCTGTCAGTGGCAGCCGGTCAATACAGGCAAACTAGGTGGTCAATACAGGCAAACTAGGGCGCCAAGATAAACAGCCATTGAGGGCTTTGGAGGCGGGAGCGCTGATTGCGCATTTCACCTAGGGCGCCAGTTGCTGGCAGCTCATCTAGGGCCGCTCCTGCTCTCTCTACTCCAGGTCTCTAGCTCTTCCCCCTTCTGGATTGAGTAAATCCGCCAGGCGAAGGTGATGCCCAGGGCTGGGGCTCCCCCGCGCTGCTCTTCCCAAGTCCTTGGAGCTGTTTGGGGGTACTAAGAGCCGCCTTGTGTTAGGGATGTTAAAATGTGTTTGTTTACACGCGGAATCGC